CACCGCATTACTTCCTTCAATTGCACCACACAGCATGATGTCATCAGCAAACTTGTCCACTGTCTGTATTACTGATAAAGACGTTGAAGAACACTGGTCCCAAGACAGACCTCTGGTGCACACCACTTGTGACTGATCTCCACCTGGATATAGAGCCATGTACCACCAACCTCTGGCTGTGACTGTCCTACCAATTGTTCATCCACCAAATATCTCAGCCTTCAAATCCGTATTTCTCAAGAAAGATTATCTACATGGCAAATGGTTTCCTCAGCACCCCTCAGTGTGGAGTCCTCAGTTAGACTTTCTGCTATGTTGTAGTGGCTTGGTCACCAGATGGATTTACAGCAACCTAGAAACAAAAATATTTATTTAATTTTTTAGTAGAATTGACAACTTCTTATTTGCCTGGTAGCTGTTTTAGATGCTGTTCTTATGTATCTTTAACCATGTGGATAATTCCTGCAAAAGGTGAAGCTTAGTGGGGCAGTGAGATCAGAGCACTAAGTCAGGAAAACTCATGACTTACTTGCTGTGAGCTGGATTCTGGATGTTACAGCAACTGCAGCTTGCTGGCACTTTTCTCAACACAATGGTATAACAGAACAGCAGTTGTTAGATTTATTTTGAGAGGAAAGGGTGATGTGAAAGGCAGTGCTGCCGTTGCTGATGGTTGTCATATGTCATGGGAGATGGCTTGACACATCCCATTCTGTATGTCCAGCGCTGTATACAGGTTGTAACATGTTCAGTGGCCTCTCATCAGTGCATCATCAGTAAGAAAGAAGGGTTCCTGGTGCCTCTTTTGTGACACTCTACAATATTTAGAAGAATTGTAACTACAAGTAATGAGTAAAATGCAAGGGTGCACATTGCTCTAGCAGGCACAGGTAGATTCTTGTACTGTTTAATTAAAAACAAAACAAAAAAAGCAACAACATACAAGAAAAGAATACACACTGAAATTGGATTATTTATAATATGATAAAGATTAATACATTAAACCAGACACCACTGTATGTTCTGTTCAAAGAATAAATCTTTTGAACTAAATTTGTTCTTCCTTCTGTAATGGAGTTGTCTTAAATTAGAGTCCAGTTAAGACCAAAGGAAAGAATTTACTAAATTTTTTAAAATGTTGTATGTTTGTTTTGTCTATGCTATGTCAACTTTATGGGTTAAATTGATTTCTTAATATCAATTCGAAATCAAAATCAGTATCAGTAAGTACTGATCTCTCCTCTTCCATGCTCCCCCATTTAAAAAAAAAGATTTCTTTTAAAACACTAAGTGCTGCAGTCTTACTTGGAGATCTAGAGTGATCGTAATCATAGAATCAGTTGTTAGATTGTTTTGGCTTTATTTAGAAAGCATGTATTTTGTACTTGTTTTGGAAAAACAATTCTGATTTGAGCATCAAAGCCTGGGGCATTACTGAGCATATAAAGCACTATCTAACACTAACAGTGGCCATTCTGCAGATTGCTTCAGCAGCATTTAAAAATGACTGTGCAGAATACAGGACTGTAAACAAATAGTTCTTATTTGTTGAAAAATAAATTAAGTAAAATGAAGGATGCAAGAAAAATGCGTGGAGGTCATCCCGACCATGTCTGTGAAAAACCAGTGCTGGCACTGGGTTTCTATCAGTGGGATTGCAGAAGTGTAATTTGAGTATACTTAAGAAGTTGAATAGATGAAGCCAATAATGTCCCAGTGGTCCTTTGAATTTGGCCCCATGAAATTAATTTCCACCTCAGCTTGTACACAGAATAAATTAATTCATACAGACCCAGTACTGCACTTCTATAATCTGTGTAATTGCTTGTTTATTCCAGCACCTGGTAGGTCCCTTTATCTCTGAACTTTTGTGCTCTGCAATATTAGCTTGTCTAAGGCTGTAAAATTAAAAGTTACTTAAGGATTTTATTGAGCTGAAACAATTGTGTTTTCCAGCCATAGAGGGTTTGTTTACTTAGCAGTGATTCCACCCCACCCAGTTGTAAGGCCAGCCCAAGCTGTTATCACACAATAGGACTTGGTGTTTGACCATAACTGCACGTCTCACTCAACAGGCAATCAGCATTTTAATTAGTGATTAAAGGAAAGTCATTGTACTCTAGCTGCTTTATCACAATAGCCTAATAATTTTGGGTTGAATAAATAGATAATGCAAAAGAGAAACCTTCCCTCATAATGTTGTTGTCATTAAGGGCTCTTTTACTCATTTGTGTGTGTATTAAAACACATGACATGAATAGAGGTAATTATAATTACTACAGGTTTTTTAGAAGATTAGCTGACATTTTTTCATTGTAAACCTTTTCCTTTATAATGCCACTCCAAAATGAATGCAGTATTTAAAAGTTCAGATAAAGGTAAGTAGTGGTAGCTCTGTCTTACCAATATGAATGGATGTGAATGATTGATTTGCTGTATGCATCGCTGGAATTAGGTAACTTGCATCATGACTGTGATGTACCACGTAATTGATGCAAGCCCTTTCATAGCATTCTGAGATTGAAATCAATATTTATTTGGAGTGCAACAAATGTAATAAGCAGCATTTCTTTGTAAATGTTGCTCTAGTTCCATTTTCAGTTTGGTTTTGCAGATAGTTCATAAGCAGCTGTTATATGTTTTGGTGTGGTTAAAGAATTAGTTGAGACGATACAAGTAAGTCATGGTAAAAAATCCAGTCTGAAGCTATAAAGCTATCAGTGCACAGAGTTATCATTCCTTTGTTTTTTAGTGATGAGATCAACACTTTATTCATAACTTTGTTTACTCACTTCTGCAAATACTGTTCATCAGAACTGTATGTAACTGAGCTTCGCTATGCTTTTATCTATACTAATAGCAAATGTCAGTTACTAAGACATGTAATAGCTAGACAATTAAGGAAACCTTCCAAAGGTGGTCACTTTTTTTTTTTTTTTTTTTTTTTTTTTCATAATAAACAGATTAGAACTACAGTACTCTTAAAAGTTGTTTTACAGCAGGGATGTGTCTTTGCCTGGAATGGCACAGTAGTTTTTGTTGTTTGTTTAAATGATGATTTTGATTAAAATCACTCTAATTTTTAATATTGTTGGCAATTTCTAACCCAACAATTACAGGGTGTCTATATTCCTAATTATAGGAGCACTGTCAAAAGTATAATTTTAGGCACTTTGCAAACAATTTATACTCTCAGCTTTTATTTCCTAGAGCAAGAACTTCCAAATACAGTACTTGTTTTCAGTGGTACCTGCTTTAAGCTGTTGTGTTCAGGTATTAAGGATCAGAGAGCTGTGAGGGAAAGGAGTTTTCTCAGCCCCATTGCTTTGCTGCTTCTTTTTAAGAGTAAACACCCACTTCATTTTCTCCTGATGCTTAGTAATCCTCTCTACTGGCATCTTAGACATGTTGAAACACAAACACACCCATACCTGACTTCATAAAAGGTGCTTTGAGATACATGCGGTTACAATGCGCCCCTAGATTTGTGAAGTGGTGTACACTCATTTTTGTGTGTTGTGTTCTTGAAGGTGTCAGAAGCTTTAAGTGAATGGTATAAAGAACAGCTTTCATGCACAGAGTTTATAATATCTTTTTTTGTTGTTGTTTTTGTTGCCCACCACACCCTTGACTTTCTGGCCCTCCTTTACTGAACCGATGAGGTCTATGGAGATGTTTATATCTCGTGATGCTGAATGATCCTCATGAAAGAGGGAAAAAATAAATAGTTAATTTAAAGTGTGGATAACCAGCATTAGATATGAACAGCAAGGGAGGAAGATCAGTCACCCATTTCTAGGGAGATTGGATAGAGAAAGATAAAGGCTATTTATTCCACTTGTACAGACTTAGAAATGTTGATTTTTGAGAGACTTCTTGTTCTTGGGAACAAGAAAACAATTTCTCTTCAGTATGGAGAAAGACAGGACTGCTTCCATGCTTAATTGTTTTTTTTAATGGCAACGTGCAATGTTCATGTGTATATAAATGATATGCAACAAGTTGTACTTAATTATTTGCAGTAGGAATTGCTAGAGACTGGTTAACAATCTGAGATTTTTGTAACCTGCTGATCTTTGGAACTCCACAGAATCACAGAGGGTGGAAGAGACCTCAAGCAATCGTCCCGTCGAAATCCCCTGCCAAAGCAAATTTTACCTATTAAATAGAGCTGTATTTTGTAGTTTAATGGGAACAATACATATGGAATACATGAGGTATGACTGCTATCATTTGGTCCTAAAGATGTTACCTGAGGTGTAATTAATTTTCCTTAGAAGTTAGTATCCCCTATGATCGAATCACCTTGAAAAATGTCAACTCCATGCGTAGGATTCTCTTATAATTGCATTACTGTTGAAATGTTGCATACATGTAATTGCACCTTTAAATATTTGTGAGGTAACAAACAAGCATATTTAGTAATTGGTAGTTCACACAGGAGTGCCCTACTGCTATCCAAGATAGAAAACCTTGTGTAAAATCCGAACCTCAGTCATTGGATAAGACAGAATAGGATCAATCAAAATGTATCAGCTTTACAGCTGCAGACATCAGATCATGTGTGGAAGGGTGCATGTTCTAACCCAAACTCTTATTTTAGATCTTCCAAGTATATTCCTTTCTATTCTGTCAGATGCGACCAGAAGTCCACCAGAGTGCCTGTGCCAGGCAACTCATGCCTGCTAAGCTGCTAGTTCCCTGTGTGACTATCGGACTGCAGCAAATACTGTCTCTATCAAAGCTACAGACTCTCACTGATAAGTACCAGTCAGGAGTTTTCAAGAGGAAAAAAAAATCTGCCTGTAGTAGCTGTTTCAGACTTGTGTTACAAGGTGTAGGGAACTGCTGAATCACTGTCTGAGCCTCTGATTGATCACCTGAGGCAAGCCATGAGTCAGCCAGTGGAGCACAGGTGAAGGTAATTCACCTGTGCAGCCAGAAGGGGTGGAGCCTGGCTCCACCTCTCCTAGACCCATTTAAGAGCTAACTACCAGTAGGAAAGAATCTCTTCTGGAGATCCCTCCTCTGGCGTTTTGATGCAAGCCTGGGATGCGGGTAAGCTTTCTATCTATTCTCTTTTTGTTATTATAATCTGCTTTGCTGAACTCTCTTTTTATTTTATAGTTATTACATCTTTATATTAATTGACTATACACAAGGCCAACTGTTTTCTGGGAGCTGAGACGGTTTTAGGATTACTCTTGAATTCAAAGATGAGCTCTGACGTTGGTTTTGGAATGTACATCTCTTTTCAGCATGAAGTGCTAGCTGATCTGCTTTATTTGTGTGTGAGTGTGTATTTTAGTCTTTTTAAGTTAGCTGTACTTCAAATTTATGGTGAAAATGTTTTCCCTCTTTCTGCTGCTGCGGACATTAGTGTTGGCAGCTGTTCACAATTGTATTCTCTTTCCTAATGTATTAGAACAATGCTCTATGAGTTCTGATCAATTTCTATGTGTTTAGTGTGACAGGTGAGTTGTTTAAGGCATTTCTAATGAGGGGATTCATACGGAGAATGATGCTGGCCCATATTGGTACAATGGCAAGTATCCATTTCTTAGTGTTTAGTTTTTCCAAACAGATTTTTTTTTTTTTTAAACAAGACCTGAAGTCTTAATTTTATGCCTGATATCCCATTTATTTGATTATTTTGCATTGTGTAGAATAAATTTCTTCCGTACGTCTCTTACGAATAGTTCTTGTGTGAAATGCAATTGTATGTTGGGCTGCTGCACTGCCCCTGTTAACGAAATAGTTATGGGTGCAGATTTGCTGTTTAACGATAGTGGTGTGTCACTCGTTGCTATTACCAGCATAACAATATAACTTTAAGAGCAGATGATATTAAAAAATACTAAAATTATGTAATTATACTGTAATTCCTGTGATAGTTGTTGTAGCTCCTCTTAGCTCCATTTCATGCTTCTCTGTTATGCCATCTCTGTTCTCCCTTTCTTGCCATAACTGAAGCAATGTTCTGTTGGTGGAGTTGGCAGTACAGGATAGTGGTGGGCTCTTATTTCAAAGTGGGAGGGATGGAAATGTCCTGGAAGTTGATGACATAGTGGACAACAATCCTATATATGTATAGGGGGAGAAGTAGAGGTGAAAGCCACTTAATTCTTTGTGTGCCTCCATAACAAAGTCCCCTAGGCAAGGATAGGTTGCATGTAGATCACAGTTCCTGAGCAATTAGATTGTGATTGGTAAGTGATGACTTGGTAGGAGAAGGGTGAAATATGCCTGCTAGGATGTTCAGTCCCCTGAACACTCACTGTCTTTTTTCACCTACCCAATAAATTATCATATGAAAACTGTTCTTCCAATTGACAGATTATTTTCACGTAGCTTAAAGGCTAAGAAATACCTGCATTAAAGAAAGGAGCTGCCCATCTGGGAGGGATCTAGTGTTGGTATATTTGCTTTCAATCCAAAGCTGAGTTATCTCCCTCATGAACAGTGTGGTGGTGTGGTGTTTTGTTGTTGTTTGTTTGTATATTTGTTTTTAAGCAGGAGGAGAGAAAAACAGTACGAAGCTTGGCCTTATGTTAGTACTCACCATTAGCATAACTGCTGTGGAATTGTATGAGTTTCTGTGCCTCTTTCTTTTGGCTCAAGGAGCTTCTTTTTTAACTCTATGGCACTAAAGCAGAGGAAGTCTTCTCTGTCGTCAATTATAATATACTAGCTGTATTATGTAATACATGCATGATCAATATCTCTGTGAACATTATAGGAATCATGTCACAAAGCTTTCCTAAAAATGGAATTGTTAAACCAGTTACGCAGATGGATTTTCAAATAATTGGTTGGTATATTTAATTTAGTAATCACTTGTGGCAGATCACAGTAAATATGTTATTTTCATACTGTTGTAAATACCTCGATGCTTGTATCAAGCAGTATCATGATGGTGATGGAAGACGATGTTTTGACTCTTGATGTTTAAAAACCTATTTGTTTGATAACACTTAAGGTTTGCTTGTTTTTAGGGCCTTTTTAATCATTCACTTTTCAATTGAGTGTCATTTAATTGGTCACCTACCTTGTATGCAAATCTCATAAAATAGTAGACTTTTTTTGTTTCTTCTTCCTGTTCTGGTCTTGTAACGTTGTTCCTCCTGCTGTGTATTCCTGCCAAGATTAAACATAGTGGCAACGTGTCTTAGAGAACCTGTTAGTTTGGTAGTGGGACATTTGTAGTGATGTGGTTCACGCCATTCCTTCTTGAACAGTAAATAGATTAGCTCTAACTAGCTGATTTGGCTAGTTCATGCTAAGTCTGGGCCATATTTCTCTTATACAGTTGGACCATCTTCACCGGTAGTGGCTTGACTTGCTGTGAGGGAGGTACTTATTAATACAGTCACTGCTTGTCGATGGTGTGTTGTGATGTGTGGTGTGAATAACATTCAAAATTGACAGTTAATAAACATGTTATCCTCCTAATCAAACCTAAGTTTTACTGTTCTGCATTTTTTTATACAGTAAGCCTATAAACAATACAAAATAAGATGTTTACAGATATATTGATGTACTAATAAATAGTGCATAAGTAACACTAATTTTAACATTTGCACAAATTTTTTTCCTAGCTGCTTGGCACAAAATGCTATCCACCAGCTGTAGTTCATTGATGTTCTCAAAGGTATCAGAGGGCCTACTTGGAAATAAGGTTCTTCTATATGAAATGTATGTGCCATGAAACAAATTGTCTGGTCAAATCAGCTATCGTGTGACCTGTCTTATTTTGTTTCCACTCTTTTATGTTATTTGCTACACCCCAGCAAAGTTTTAAGTATATAGATAATCCATCATTTTGTGATCTACTTTTTTTTTTTTTTTCCCATGGATTTGAATTTTTTGTTCCTGTCCACTTTGCTTAAGCAAAAGTCTGACGTGAAGTGAGGGGATTCCTTTTGTTAAACTGTAAATCTCTCATCACTCCAGCTTATCTGAAAATTGCGTTCACTGTCCCTTAAATCCAGTGATGTCACTGCTAAAGTGCCTTTGTTCACGGTTCATGTTTTAACATGCTGTGAATCCAGTAATATCTTGTGACGTATATTCTGCACAAATGCCTTCAGTTATTTTTGGATCTGAATTATCTCACCTCTATAAAGTTCATAAGGCTTATGTTTGCAGAATATCCTCTAATTCTGTAGTTTCTCATTTTACATCTAGAGAGTTTAGATGTAATGTACACTCTGGCAAGGATAACTTGTTACTTGTTTATTTTGATGCATGTTGACAGTTTTCCCTGGTTTAAGAATATGCTATGTTAGTTCAGCATTGTTGGAAGTGAGCAGAGAGTTTGGCTGTGAATTTCCTGATTATTATGCTTGATATTTTTTCAGTTCCAGGTTATATGCTGAGCAGGTCTTCGGAGAACTCTTCATTCACTGTGTATTTGCATAGTGTCACTTCTAAGCCAAATTATCAGTGTTTGTTGAGTAGGTAATGGGTCTGCCTTTCTGAACTTGTTTCATGAATATATTGTGATGCAGCCATATTTCATCAGGTGATTGGTGTTTTTTGTTTCACTGATCAAAACAAACTGATCACACAACGAATCTGTTAGTTGAGCAGTCTTAGTCAGGAAACAGTGTAGTGGGAAGAAATGAAAGTCATCAGTACATTCACTAGTCATTTTAAGTGCATGTGGACATTGCAAAGTTGATTTGTTAGGTATATTTTCTGTAGTACATGTTGCAACCCAAGTTTTGTTTCTTATCATGTACTTTATTACATTTACAGCATTGCTATAGGCCCACTTAAAGCTGTGCCAGCCTTGTGCCAACCTTGTCTTTTCTTTGGGGGGTCTTCACTGTCTTTGAGTTACACAGCCTTTCAAGTATACTTGATAAATGAAGGTCTGAAATAAAATTTTTACTGCAGCTTTAAACATGTGCATATTGTTAAGCTGTTCAGAAATAAGGAGTTGAATCTGCACATTGGGTTTCAGCCATTCAACCAAAGACAGAAAGATGATTGAATTCGGTCTTAAATTTTATAGAACTAAATTTAATGGCGAGTACAATCACACTCTATGGTGATTGTTTTCAGTACTACTTTATTAAGTTATGTAATGGCAAGAGTTCAAACTCCAGAGATTGTTGAAATGGTATATTTAGAAACTACGTTAGAATGAAAACAGACATACTTGTTACTGACAAGCAAAGTACAGAGATTTTTACCTAGATATCTGTGCAGCTGGTGACTCTTATTTAAATAGTTTGGAGGTTTTAGACTTAATACCCTGCTTTTTAAAAATGTTTTAAAATCTCTTCTTATTCCCCAAAGATTTGTTTTCCACTGTTGCGATTAGATGATGACAGCTAGCTGGCTTTTAAAATTGATCAGGAAGTATTCTGGCAGACATTCAGTGTTGTAATAGTACTTTAATGGATATGAGCTATTCACCCAGATCAGACTCAATGTCAAAACAGGCAAAAATACAGCTGTCACTCTGGACAAGAAGTTACACATATGCAAGCAGCTGCTAATGATACTGGAAAGTAAGCTGTATAATAATGCTTTAAAGATGCATGAATGCATATGTGTACATACTGATTCTGTATGTAAAGACACCCCTTAACAAATAAACTTGAGAGAAATTGTTCTATGGCTATGATTGTGTTTAGGAAAGAGCAAAATGTATGTATATGTGTTACTCTTATCAGTGAGAATGTAGCAACAAGTTCATTAGTACAGTTGGACTTGCAGAAGCTGATTTCTTAAAAATGTTGTGAAATAAAGTGACTATGGTGTAAATCTTACCTTCCAAAATGATTGCATTGTTGTGAATTTAATGCACATTTTGGGAAAAGGTATTTGGATTAACTTGATGTGGATAAAGGTACTGATACTTTGCATTGTTGGAGAGCATATATTTACTTACATATATACACACATATTAATATGAATTAAAATTATATATTAATATTATATATAATATGTATAATATAAATTATATTATAAATAGAAGTATTAAATTATGTATATATGTGTGTGTATATCATACAGCTGGTATTTGGTGTAAATAGAAATGATTT